GTCCAATATATATTCGGCCATTAATCATCTTGGCCATGGCCTACAAAAGTAATGTATTTAAAACAGCCACAAAAAGCAGCGGCCACTTTCCTTGCAGCGCCAAAGAATCACTGGCGAAATTTATGGACGCAGATAATTAAATCTGGATTTTTAATCTAAATGGGAAATGGCTAAGAGAATTATAATCAGATATGTGTAAAATAAACATAGAGAACCCAAACGAGTTTACACTTTAACTGTAATGTTAATACAAAAATTAGCCTTAAATAAAATCTCTTTTTAAAGGATTAAATCCTATTTAAATGTTATTAAAAAGTTTGTTTTATCCAACGCACTTTGCACTTAGATTGTGAAATATTAGCCGAATATTCACAGGAAACCGCACGGAAAACCAACTTTTCAAGCAGAACCCACGAATGCAGACAAAGTTTTAAGTGCACTTGGAGAAACAATGAAAACAAGGTAAAGTTACACTTGTTTTGAAAACAATTTCAAGACCTCGCAAAATATGAAATCAATCTTAAGTGAGTTTTTCAATCAGTTTCTCATATCTCGTCATGTAAATTAACCGATGGCACTTTTTCGGTGATTGCTTCTCTGCTATTTTTTGTTTTCTTCGTTTTTTTTTTTTCGTTTTTGATGACGTTTCTGGCTTTCTTGTTTTTGCCCCAGTGAGTACAACAGTACGTATGAGCATTGTCTGCGTTGTTTGTTATAATTTCAGATAAGTTGAGATTGCCGATTGTCGGTTACATTGTTTTCTTGTTGCGGTTGTTATTATGCAAATTTTGGCTAACAACCGCTTACAAAAAAAAAAAAGCGACCATAGTTTCGGTGGGGTTTTTGGGTTTGAATTTTAATTAACGTTGCGCATACGCCGCGTGTACACCCTGCAACTGCCATCCGAGGTGTGTTCGATGCCGTTGGGCAAAAAGTATGCCAAGTAAATACTGTTTTCAAAACGAAATAATGAGCACACTTTTTTTGGGGTTTCTTGTTCGTTACTTGACGGTTTTGTTTTTTTGTTTTTTTTTTTTTTTGTATGCTTCCTTTTTTGTGTGCTTAGATGCAGGCAAAGTCTAAACACTTTCACTTAAAATCCACCAAAGGCTACACGAATTTCGTGTCGTACATGACAAACTCTCAACTCGATTTGGTGGCGGTTCGGAGGGGTTGGGAGGGGGTGGTAGTTTGTGGGAGGACAGCTAAGTGGCTCAAACGGCCGTTGGCTCATCCTCGACTTTCAGGATAGGTACAGTGATTATTTCCATCATATTTGCTATTTATACATATTTTTTGCATGCTGTTAATCATTTTTAATTGCAAATACACTCGTTATTTGTTCAACTAATGAGTCTATTAATCCGTGTCGTAAAAACTAAGCCGCACACATCACTTATTTCCCAATTTCCGCCGCCTCAAAGTACTTAACCCCACCAAATGACGACAAACTTGACACCCCCAATACCACATAATTCCGCCACACACCAGCGATATCCACTGTAAAATATCGGCAACAATAACCGAAGAAATAGCTGCGAAAAGGAGAAAAAAAAAAGAGGCGACATTGATTAACGAGTGCTTAGTTAAAGCGGCACTCAAACACGCGCTGCTAATGCCGCAGATGGCAGCAATAATAGTTGCAGATACACCAGCAACACTAGCACAGCAGCAGCAACATCAACCGAGCAGCAACATCAACAAACAAACAAAAAAAAAAGCACACAAAAGTCAACAACAATCGCGGACAATAAACGGGGAAATAAGCGACGACAACAAAAGTGCAATAATAATTCTCTTCGTTTTATTCGTCTTCATATTTTTATGATGAATAATTGAATGGAATCTAGGAATAAGTTTGAAGGAGGCATCACTATTTATTGCCTTTGCCATGCATCTGTGCAAATACTTTGAAATATGTTTATTAATTGCCAAGTGAACACCCTTCAACCCGCCGTTAATTTCAAGTTAGTCTGTTGCTCTGGAGGTACTACATATATACTATATATATTCGAGGGGTATATGCGACTGGGCATTGACCTGCACTGCCCCAAAGTGTACTGAATAAACAGCTGTGTTCAAAATAAATGCATACTGACTGAATGTTAAAGAGAAGTTAAAGAGAAGTATTTAAATATAAACCTAGTAAGCTCTAGTTGAGATAACTAAACAATTTGTTTTAGTGTAACTTGCTCAATTCGTTCATTATATTGTATTCATAAATAAATAAATCTAGCTTGATTGTTTTTACTGATGAAAATAGTAACACTTTAACACCTTGTTTACTTCTTTTTTATTTTGTCTGCTTTCTTCACTCGTGGGTCTTAAATAAAACTCGACTTTAATTGTTGTTGGCTTTCAGTAGAAGTTGCCCTTAAATATTATTGCTTATTTTATGGCTGTTGCACATGTTGCTTATTTTCTGTTATTTTTGGCAGAACATGTCAAGATTGTCTCTGCTTAATTTATGTAAGAAAATGCTTTTCAATTTTAATTCTAAATATGTCAGTTTAAGAAGCTTTTTATTTTTGTTTATTGCAATGGCTTAAAATCTCCCAATTGGTTTCTTCCCAATACTATTGCTACAATACTTTCTATTATAAGCAATGACATATTTTCCCCGCTGGTTAATCTATTTATTTACATTATGAAACAACTTATTCCGAAGCGAACTTTGATCTTGTCACATTACTTAATTAAATCAAATGAATCGGTTATTTGTTTTCGGGTTTGATTGTTCTATCAGCTTTGCCCTTTTCACTTCAATTTAATCGCATATAAATAGATCTCGATGCGTTTATTTTTGGCAGTCGCTTTTTGTTTGGTTCTTGTCAAGAGCAACTACAAATCAGACTATTAGTGAGTCACGCTGCCCAACAACAAATTACGCACAAAAATAGCTAAAGTATTTGGATGAATATGGGGGGTATACATATATGATTCATTAGGCCCACAGCTGCTATTAAATTGTAAAGTTCTTTCGGATGAGGTTTACTCAGGGGGATAATCACTTTTTACCCTTAATGAATTTATCACATTTTAAAACTTTTTATACTTTTGTTTAATTACTTATATGTATTGTTTTCTTTTCAAGAGTTGCCAAATTGTTAATTTATATACAGTTACATTCCCTATACACATATTCTAGTTTACCTACATTTTAGTAGCACAACTCCTGCGGCATGTTGATGGGGCAAGCCCAAATTGCTGTGGCGTCTAAGCAAATGCTGCTGCTGCGGCGGATTATCCAAAGCCGATTTAATCAGTTGAAAGGCCATTATCCAAGGATCGAATTTAATTTCTGCCCTATTTCACAATAACATCACTTTTCTCTGTCGATTTAAAACATCGAGCGGTTATTTTCAATCATTACTCGAGTCAAACTCTCTTTTTTAATATATATAATAAACAGTCAGCCCAACGGGATGCAAATATATGTAGAATATAGTAAGAAAAGGCGAGAGAGAACACAAAGCCCGCGTTTTTGGCACACACGACAAAAAAAAAAAGCATGCGGCATCCACGACAAGATCGATTCTACTGAAACCGCATCCATGAATCCATCGCCAGGCGAACGTGAATGGAACATGGAGCCCGAAGCGCAGCGCAACCGAAGTGGGTAAAAAGCCGAAAAAAGCGGTGGAAAAACAGAAAAAAAAAATACATAAAAAACGGTGGGGAAAAAAAACACAAAATCGAAATCAAACAAAACGAGCTGTAGACTTTGTAGACTGGAGTCAGCAGAGCAAAAAAGCTGGACCGCAAAAGCGGACTCATGGATCGAATCGCTGGGCCCGAATTGAATGGGGTTCGCTCGTTGAACGATGATATGATGATGCTTGCTCCGCATGCAAGCGGCTGATAAAAATATATAGAAAACTGTAGAAAATGGGGGGCGTTGCTTTCCGTCCAGGGGAGCGATAAGCAACCTGAGTGGGGAAAAAGCCTACAAAACGAAAAATGATTTCGGTTTTACAGTGTGAGTCCACCTATTGGTGTGGAAAGCAACCGCAAGAGCGCCATCTGGCGGTAAATACGTTTTGCAAAATAGATCCGGAAGGAGCGCTTTTTTTGGTCCGACACCTATAGAGTTTTAAGCAAAATCTGCTGCCTTCTACGAAAATAGAACAGCTTGTTCACACTTATTTCCCGTTTTTTTTTAGATCATTTAGACCCTTAAAAACTTCAAGGGAAGTCAAATTATATTTAAAATTTTTCGCCTAAGTCTTTGTAAACCTATGACAAATAAAGGATATTCCAGCTTGTTTTAAAAAACTGCTTTCTAATAACTTAAAATGATCTAGAAGGTATTCAACAGCATGTATAACAGTTTAAAGTTTTTTTTCGGCTTAAGAAAACCCGCAAATAAGAAGACATCTTTTTTCAGTTATTTTGGATTGTAGAAACAGTGCCGCTACCACAAGAGTTTAAGGTAAAATGCGCGACACCTAGCGCCAATAGTAATGTAATCCCTCTAGAGGCGCCTTTGTGCAGCACAGAGCCACCTATTGGGCTTTCAAAAAGTTCTAAAGCTATTTTTCGGCATGGAAATAAAAGGAAAACCATTTTTCACTAGAAACCTCAAATCTTTTTTCCCTATAAAAGAAAAATCTGTTTTCCCAAAAAAAGAAACTTTAAATGTGTCTTAAAACGGGTGTATAAACTTTGCATGATTTCAAAAATGAATGAAATTCAAATATTCAATACAACAGAGTTTTCCAAATTTTAACTTTCAGCCCTACAACTCCAGAAATTTAGACACCTTTGACCATAAACATGGGGAACAAGTAAAGACTGAAATACATATAACAAAGATTATGTGAGATTTTATAACATAAGCTTAGCAAATTAAATTACGGGGAAATTTAGAACTTTAAAGGGGAAATCATCTGCTTTTTCACTTTATAGCTGTTATACGGAAGGATAAACCGAAGGATTTGAAACAGAGGGAAATCAAGAAAGGCTTTGAAATTGGTCTGAAAACCGACTTTGGGACTCACCCGTTAGACCAGTGTCGTTGATGCTGGACGTTGAGGTTGAGAAACCGGGGAGCTTGCGCCAACCCTTGCGACTCCAGAAGCTCCTCGCCTTCGATTCCGTGGCGGTGGCCTGATTCTGACCCGAAACCTGAACCGTTTGAATGCCATTCCCAGTGGCCAGTCGATGGTGATTGGGTCCTGGATCCTCCGCCGCTCGAATCCTGGCGCAGCTGAGTATCCTGCGGCCGCAGGAGGCGCGCGTAAGAAAGCTGCCACCGCTGGCACTCTGGCCGCCCATTCCCGCCTCGTCGTACACAGTGGCCGCTCGCTGGAACGAACGACAGCTCTGGGTGACCACTGTGGGCGTCTGCCGGGCGCACTTGATGTGCTGCGTTTTACTCAAGCGCAGACTGCCAATGTAACTGGCGCCGCTGCTGCCGCTGAAGCCGCTGTCCAAATCACCGCAGTTGCTGTGTGCCAGCAGCTGCTCCACTTTCCCGGGAGCCACTTTGCTCCTCTTAACCACCGAATCGCCACCACCGCCACCACCACCACCACCACCACTATCACAGATGTTGTCCGCCGAGGCGGAGGTCAGTCGAGCCAAGATCGTCGGCGGTTGTCCACTGGCCGCCGTTACACTTACACTGGGTTGCGGTGCTATGGTTTCCGTAACTCCTCCCACCGCTCCTCCTACTCCTCCTACTCCTACTCCTCCTCCTCCTCCTCCTCCTGCTCCTCCTCCACCTGCCCCTCCTCCTCCTGCTCCCGCTGCTCCCTGCGACTGGTCCATTGACTTGGGCGGACTCTCCGGCATCAGCATGGCCTCCACACTCAGATTGAGCTCACCCAATATCTTGTGATGCCTGTTCTGCACTCGACGCAGCTCCTCCTCCACGAGCGTCTGATTGAGGGAGCCCGCCGAATGGGAGCCCACTGTACCGCGCAACTGGTGACCACCGCCAGTGTGGTGGTGGTGGTGGTGGGTGGTCTGCAGGGCAGCCGCATTGATCTCCTCGTAGAAGTTCTCGCTCTGGCCCAAACCGCTCCTGGTGGTGCTGGCCAGTTTGTGGTAGCGCGTCTGGTAGGACTGCAAGGTGGCCGGGCTGACGAGTTGCTTATTCTTTTTGCCCTTGGAGAGCAGGGCTCGTATGGAGTTGGGCGGTGGCTCCGCCGAGGAGGAGGACGGCGACGAGGACGCATTGGTGGGCACCCCCGATGGGGATGAGGCTACCCCCACTCCTACACCCACACCACCTCCTCCTCCGCCCGAGGAGACTGGCACATTGGAATGCCTCATGGCGGCACCGGGTTCGTAGTAGGCATACGAGTAATCATGATGCACATGCTGGTGGTGATGGTGGTGCTGGTGCTGGTGGTGCTGGTGCTGGCTGAGATTCCTGCCCAGGGTCTTACTGTGCCGCGCAGCCAGCTGCTTGAGGTGGTGCGGCGATGTCTCCAGAGTGGCCGACTCGTTGCAGATCTCGATGGCATCCGGATCGGGATCGGGATACCTTGGCAGTTGCTGTCGGCGGGCGGGATTGCCATTGCCATTGCCGTTGCCGCCGGGGGAACCACCGGAACCACCACTTTGCTGCTGGCTTTTGGGTGGTGGATAGTCCGGCGGTGGTGGAAACTGCAGACAGTGCTTAGCCACGCCCCCGTGCACCGCCTCCAATTGCTGTTGCTGATGTTGCTGCTGTTGCTGTTGCTGCTGTTGCTGTTGCAACTTTTGCTGCTGCTGCTTGAGTCGCTGCAGCTGCGTCTGCTGCTGCGTGTAGTAATTCTGATTCGAGTGCTGCTGCTGCTGCTTCGTGTGGACCAAGACCTTGCCGGCCACGCCCCCTGTCCCGTTGTGGGGGCGGGCGTCGAACCGCTGCCATTGTTGCGTCTGCTGCCCAGGCCCAAGCTCTCCATCGCACATCGTGTGGCTGCCGCGCCAAAAGCAACGATCTGTTGAAAGGAGGGAAGGTCGTTAAATAATTAGAAATAATTAAAAACCATTTACAAACGAAGGGAAACCTATTTTAAAAGTGAAAGCAGAAAATTCGGGGTGTACAAGAAAGCAAACCAAATTTTTAAAAACCTATAAAAGTACCAGACATTAACTTTACTAATAAAATAATTCAATTAGAAGCCTTTGTGTCTTTTTGCCTAAAATACTTATTTAGTCAATTATCAGCATTAAAAACTGGGTAATCCCTTGCATAATGTTTATAAATTAATCAAAATGTAAAGTATTACTTAAGTATTTCATTCTTGAGGTGACAAATTAATGAGCATAAAATCCAGTTGGGCTCAAAACCCAAAGCTGCAGCAGCTGTTTCTGCCCAACAAAAAAAAAAGGGGAATAGGTTCCTGGAACTTTGACCGCTCGTAAACGCGGTATTTGGCATTCGCGCTTCGGGTTTCGAGTTCAGAGAGCCAACTCCGTGCCACAATCCACATGTCGTCGTGATTAATTACTGCTAATTCCGCAGAGTCTTTTGATGGCCAAAGGGTTGCCTGGCCGGGCTTTGCTTTTTTGCGAGCTCGCTTCAAAGGCCTAGCCGAGCGGTAATTGAAAAAAAAACCAGGCTAAACGAGAAGGGAGCCCGGCCACAAATGACTTGGACAGTTCAGGTGGAGTCGGGAAGCCAATGATGGATCTGCAGCTGCCACAGGTGAGCATGCCACAATTTACTTGTGGCTAAAAGCCCCAATGAGGAGCTTGCAGCCAAGCCTGAGTCGTTGTTTATGAAATCAAATCAATCAGAGAGTGCAGAACTCAAAACACAAACTCAAAAGTTGAAAAGGAAATATAGTATATAAATTAAAATATAATCGATACATTCTTAGTGAAACTGCAACTATTTTTAGTTGAGACTTGCCTCCTTTTTTAAGGATTAATTTCCAATCAGTGATCAGTTTCAAAGAATGCCTATTCCCTTTGGCATTTACCAATAATTTCAGCTATTTTACTATGAAACCGGGAGGCTCTCCTCCCCATCATCGTTCTGCCCTCCTGACAAATGATAATGTCAGTTGTTCGGCAAGATTACGATCGAGATAAAGGACAGAATCGAAGGAGGAGGTCCGATAATGTGCAGAGTGGAACGTAATAAAGTTGACGATGATAATGCCACCAAGTTATGAGTGGATATCCCAAGCCAAGGATTCTTCGTGGTAGCAGACAGAAATTCAATTGGTAATTTGAGTAGAGGTCCATCCCGGTTCTGGTTCTTGTTTCTTGTTCTTCCCCCCTCTCTCTCTCTCTCTCTCTCTCTCTCTCTCTCTATCTTTCTCTCTCTCTCCCTCTCTTTCTCTATCTATCTGTATCTCTCTTTCTCTGGGCTTTTTCTCCTTTTCCCTGTAACCTGAGACAAGTCTGAGAACTGGACACGATCTCGTTGGCACAGCAGGTCCCCAAATTAGCGTCTAAATTTAGCTACTCAACAAATTGAATTGAGCCCAGCGAGGGGCAGCTGATGCTGTCTCTTTCAACCAGCATATCCCGCTCTCTTTCATACCCCTGGCGTAGATATATTCATTTTGTTGTTTTCAGAGCTCTTTCTTGGGTTTTAAAGCTCTGCGTGCACTTGAAGTCGCGGCGAAGGGTAAGACTGGGTATTAGGGGGATTAAGGGCTTCCAACTTCACGGGGGACAACATCAAAAACAAAAAAAAAAAAAAACCCTAACGCATGCCATTGTCAACAGTCAGATACAACAACAAAAAAAATGGAGGTAACGTGGGGTTTTGGGCGGGGAGTTGCGGAGTGGGAGTGGCAGTTTGCCAGGGAGTAAACCACTCGAAGCGCAGGGCAAGGATTCCCCTGGAGCCTCTTGAGCTCCCCCCAAATCTCCACCAGAAGCCCAACCCCTCCGAGGTTCTCCAGGCTCCATAAAGGAGCCTTAAAGCTCCTGGCTGCCCGGGTAAACTTTGTGTTTGCCGACGCTTCAACCCACTTACAAGGATTTATATATGCGTGCCGGTTATTTCTTTTTTTTCTACACTGTGTGCTCCCTCGTTAGTTTGCTTGCTTTTGTTTTGTCTCCTCCTGTTTTCTCAACTGTTTCACAATTTAACCAGGCACCCACTAAACGCAAGTCAAAGGGGTATATTAGATACATTTGATGCAGGACTTCAATGTTTTTCAAAACTATTAACAACACATTATAGTATATTATTCCCATTCAACATTCTAAGCGAACAACTAAAAGTTTAAAGTAAATAAAGACTTTAAACTTTTAGTTATCCCAAGAGAAAGGGGTATCTGCATGTCTTGTTTTTAGGCAAACTTCCCTTGTTCACTTTACCCTTGTTTTTCCATAATTCTTCTTCGACCCTTGAGCACAATTTCCCTGCGCTTTTCGCCGAGGAAAGTGAAGCGAGTGGCAGCGATGCGAGCGAGGAAAAGCGAACAAAAGCCATCAGGCAACATCTTTCGCAGATGCGTTCAAGGAAGTCTCGACTTCCTCTGCCAATATTGGCGCTGCTCAAGTGACTTTCGCTGATTGATTGGGTGGTGACCCCGATGGAGCACTTAATTAGAAGCACACGCATACGCGTTAACCGAAAAAAAGGAGTTGCTGCAGCTGCAGCAGTGCTTTAATGGGGGAAAACGAAGGCCAGCTGAGAGCACTGGGAGAAATAGTTCCTATGAGGATGTTATAATCAAGCAATTGATTTAAAAAATATATAAAAATTATGTTGATAAAAGACAGTTTCTGTCATTTATAACATATCATTTTAACTCTTATAATCAGAAATAAATATAGAAAATATTAGAAAATTGATACAAAAATATATTCTGTATACTTGTGCGATTTATCATCTGGTTTTTTTTCCAAGTGCAGACTCTTCCCCTTGCCACCCTTCAAGTGGATGCGTGGCGCGTGTTTTCTGCCACAAGGGGCCGTGCAACAACAGCAAACAGAACAGAACAGAACAGAACAGAACAGAAACGCATTGCAATAATTATATGCTGAGGCAGCAAGAACTGCAACTGCAACATCCAGCATCCAGCATCAACCCCAGCGGGCTGGCCCCTGCAAAAAGTGTTGCATGTTCTTCTATCATATTTGCAATTTATGTGTCGCCAATTCACTCAGACTCCGGCTGCTGCTCCCGCTGCTCCTGTTGCCCCCCCCAAAGAGTCCTCTTTCAGTAGCGGATTCCCCTCGCCATTTATGGCATGTTGATGCCCGAGTGCGAACAAGTAATTAGAAAACATATTTCGAAATTGTTTCGCCATCCGTTTGTGCAACTTCGCGGCTTGCAGCTGTGCTGAATTTGCGGGGAGGGAGATTCCACAGCCTTCGCATCTTGAAGTTCCGTGGGACTTATCGTACATCTTTCCATTTTTAATTCCCCGAAATCCACCTTTTGATCTTGTAAATCAGTCGACAATCATTTAGTTTTCCATGCAATTCCAACAATTCGGAGGTTACAGTGATGAAAAGTTTGATAGAAAAGTTTAGGGATTAATCCTGCAGATTTTATAGGGGATAATACGCAGCGGAAAGTGGTTTATAAAATATGCCACGCCCATTAATAGTCGAAGCTTCGCACTATTGAATAAATTTTGTTTTTAAATCCATTCAGAGTTCATCCTTTGAAACTGCACGTTCTATTCAAGGCTTTGGCCGATATTAAATTGATATCCCTCTTTTGACCAATTAAAAAGGATAAAACTCCCTTTTCGCCAGGGGCGCAGCTTTACCCCCTTTATGTATGGTGCGTTGCCTGGCATCAAAAAGTTGGCTTTGGGTGGTTTTCCTGCACCGTTGTCACTCGCTTTCGTTGATTGTTCGACTGGGTGCATTGACTTGCATTCCAGCCCCTCTTTGGCAGTGAGATCGCCCCCGTTCCACCCCCCATGGAAACCACACCCCTGGGCAACCACTTTTTCCCCGCATTGCGTGCTGCATTGTCAACAAGTGCGAGTGAAATAAAACCCAGGGACAAAAAAAGGCGGACTGGCAAAGTGAAAGGAGCAAAAATTGTTAAGGGGAGTTGAGAACACAGAACACAGAACACAGAACACGAGAATGCGAAAGTTATTCAACGGAATAGGAAAATGGGGGAGAGCTAGTTTCCCCCAAGTTGCATCTTCACATCCTTCAACATGATTTCCCTCCATTTTCCGCATTTTTCACTGTGTGTGCAAGAAAGAAAAATGAAAGCATCCGAAGGGAGTTGAGTTGAATTAACGTTAATGATGATGATCAGTGATGTGCACCTAACTTTTAACTTCTTTTGGATATTTACCTTAACTATAATATATTATATTATATATTAATTTTACATATATTTTGGTTGGATTTTTGTTCATAAATTTGAGATAAATAAATGTACCCTGTTTCTTTCTATATTTTTAGAATTATATCCACATCTCTGGGGCTGATGATGACCTTTTTTTAACCCTGCTTAGATGTTGTGGGGATAGAGATAATGGCCGCCCTGATGTGCGCTATCTCTGAGTTACCAACTTCGCCTTCCCACTTTCTCGCCTCTGTGATTCTCCCCTTTGAAATCTCCACTTCATTCATTCTCCATTGGCCGAAAAGCGTCATTGGCTGCATGTGCAACTTTTCCTGCTCCTCCTTTGACTCTGGATTTTATTTTCTTTTTTTTAGGCCTTATTTGGCTGTTGGCTTTATCTGTGGCATTAGCCTGCTTACAGCAGCCCCGATTTTTTTTTTCTTCAACGGATTCTGGGCATGCTAAAGTGTCGTTTTCTGTTGAACATTTTGTCAATTGCTTCGCTTTCACTTTTGCATACGAGCCTCAAGTCTTAACAATTTCCATTGAAGTTGACTTCGATTTGGTAGAGAGTTTGGTGTTTGCTTAAAGCCAGACTTAAAGCTTCAAACATTTGGAGATACAGAAGAAAGAGGATTAAAATATTAAGGAACAAGAACACTTGCAAGAACTTAAGTTGAAAGCTTTAAAACTACCTCCGACTTTTTC